AATCCCTATAGACAGCAATGTAATATCAGGGTTAAATCCCTGCTTACACCAGGAGACCCACATATCAATAGATACATGGGGCTGCCCACTGACAGGTAAGCTGCATACAGAACTCAAAGTGAGATTGGCATGCAGCACATTCAATGTGGATTTAAACCCCCATAGACAGCAATATAGCGTGAGTAGTGTTAATATCAGCAAACTCAGTTATCCATAGATACCTGGGGCTCCCTTCTGTCATTTGGGGCAATTTTAATGGCTCCAGACTTTTGTATGAGCTGCATTCAGTGCTGAAAATCAACACTGCATATAGCCCTTTAATTTCACTGAAAATCAACACTGCAGATGAGCGCTGCAATAACACATTACAGAGCACTCTGTACCTTATGAGCTAGGAAATCCCTCTGCTAATGTAAGTAGAAGGAATCCTTTGTGAAGTCACAATTAGTAGTAGTATAGTTAGTGGTTGGAATACGTGTTGGATTAGGGGGAAAGGGGTATCAGTCTACTTGAGGAATGTAGCAGAAAACAAATACGGAGTGTTTACAGTAGTGAGATATTGTTGAATTTTCCAAAATAAAATACGTTTGAAAACATCCAAATAATTAAATATTATTATTATTATTATTGAGGTTTGTGGTTAAATGAAATGTGTCAAAGTGCTCTTGGTTAAATAACCTGAGGGATGTGCTTTATTTCGCCTTTGGATTCTGTGACTTCTGATCTCAGCATGCTACATTTTGCAGTTTTAGCTTTAAAACCATAATTCACTCCTTGTTTTAGTACTCCTTAGAATGTATGAAAATTCTGGGCATATTGTTAACAATTTAGGTATAATGAGTGATTCCATTTTCACTTTTCTTCAGTTGCACCTGTTGTGTAGAAATGATTAAATTCAAAAAAATGTTTGGCATCCAAACACCACCTGACGGCTCAAATGCAGGCTAGGATTTGAAATAAATCCAAGCTATTTGCCCACTGGTAGGACTAGCATCCCGCGGTCAAATAAGTAAAGATCTTCAGCAGTGCAAAGGTTAATTATGTGGCGGTTGGCTAATGCTTGGTACGTAAAAAGCCTATGGGGTCAGTAAGACCTCAATATTACTATAAGTGAGCAGGTTGTGCATATCTGCTAAACGGTTAAAGCAAGCAACTGTGCAGCCATGTGATGGGGCCTGTTAAATAATGTAAAAGCAATTATGTTTCCTTCCAACCGGTGGCCAGCAGGTGTGGGCACTGATTATAATTTTATTAGGGGGAGGATCTAGTGTCTAGCCCCCACCCATTTAGGAACCTAGTGTGGGCTGTGGGTGGGTGTAGACATACAATCCATCCCCCCTTAACCCATAACCATCCTCCATTGAAATTAAAGATCCAATCCATCCCCCCTAAACCCATACTCCTTATCCTAATAATAGTGGGGAGGCAATGCCTGTAAGAGAAAAATTATACTTCCCATCAGATCACTTTTCTAACTAATCTCCAGCGCCTTCAGAATCCCCATAGGAAAACATTGATTCATTGGTTTCCTACAAGAAAGGCCTAATGCGCACGCAAAATGCTGGGTTCCCTCTTGCAGTGATGTTGGAGGAGGAATAGACAAAGCTAGCGTTGAGGGACCCCGGCACTAGAATACAGTGAGTGTTTAAAGGGTTAGTTAACCCTTTGAGTGTTACTTGAGGTGGGGAGGGGGCGCATATGGACACTGTAGTGTTAGAAATACAGCTTTAACCCCTTAAGGACCGAGGACGGTTCAGGACCATCATCAGCATTTTTACATTGCCGCCCGACGGTCCTGAACCGTCCTAACGGTCTTAGTTACCGGATCGCCGTCATTCCCCCGGCAGCGATCAGCGGTGCTCCCGGGCTGCAGGCAGTCTCCCCACACCGGATTAGGACCTCTGTGGCCATGTGATTGCTCAACACAGCGATCACATGGTCACAATAGGTGTCCATGTGTCTGCCTGCAGGGGGACTGCCTGTGCTGACAGGCAGTCTCCCTGCAACTGTAAAACAGTAAAAAAAAAAAATATATATATATATATATATACATATATATATATATATATATATTATAAAATACAAATAAGTAATTTAAATTAAATTAATTTTTTTTTAAATAAAAATATCTATATGAAATTTTATTCTAACTGTATTTTGATATTTTTATATATATATATTTATATTTATATCAAAATACACTTAGAATGAAATTGTGTGTGTGTATATATATATATCTATGTATATATCAATAAAAATAATACGAATTATACATATGTCCATATACAAAATTACATAAATAATTATATAAATATACACGTAGACTCCAAATATATAAATATGCATATATATTTAAATTCTACGTGCGTATTTATGTAACATTTTTACATAATTAAGTCATTTTATTGATTGCAATTTGAGGGACCTGCCTGTCAACCCAGGCCGAAAGTCCAGAGAATGTAATTTGCTAGCACTGTATTTTACCCTGTAACATTCTATGACTCCCTAAAACCTCTACATGGGGGGTAATGTTTTACTCGGGAGACTTCGCTGAACACAAATACTAGTGATTCAAAACAGTAAAACATATCACAGCGATGATATTGTTAGTGAAAGTGACTCTTTTTTTTGCATCTTTCACGCACAAACAGCACTTTTACTGATGATATGATTGTTGTAATACGTTTTTCAGTTTTGAAATACTAATATTTGTGTTCAGCAAAGTCTCCTGAGTATAACAGTACCCCCCATGTACAAGTTTTATAGTGTTTTTGAAAGTTACAGGGTCAAATATTTTTACATTGAAAATGGCCAGGTTGCTTACGTTGCCTTTGAGAGCGTATGGTAGCCCAGGAATGAGAATTACTCCCATGATGGCATACCATTTGCAAAAGAAGACAACCCAAGGTATTGCAAATGGGGTATGTCCAGTCTTTTTTAGTAACCACTTAGTCACAAAAACTGGCCAAAATTAGCGTTCAATTTAGTTTTTACTTTTTTCACACACAAACAAATATGAATGCTAACTTTGGCCAGTGTTTTTGACTAAGTGGCTACTAAAAAAGACTGGACATACCCCATATGAAATACCCTGGGTTGTCTACTTTAAAAAAAAAAAAAATGTACATGTGGGGTGTTATTCAGAGATTTATGACAGATAATAGTGTTACAATGTCACTATTGATAAATTTTTAAAATGTATGTTTTGAAACCGCAATATCCTACTTGTACCTATAGCCCTATAACTTGCAAAAAAAAAGCACGTAAACACTGGGTATTTTTAACTCAGGACAAAATTTTGAATCTATGTAGCAGTTTTTTTCATTTGCTTTTGTAGATGAGTAAAAGATTTTTCAAGTAAAAGTAAAAAAAAATTTATTTTTTTTTTCAATTTTTCATCATATTTTTTTTTAAAATTAAATTACATGAGATTATATAAATAATGGTATGTAAAGAAATCCCCTTTTGTCCTGAAAAAAACAATATATAATTTGTATGGGAACAGTAGATGAGAGCGGAAAATTACAGCTAAACACAAACACCACAAAAGTGTAAAAATATGCCTGGTCGCAAATGTACATCGCAAAAACAGTCTGGTCCTTAAGGGGTTAACTCTCTAATTCTCTGATTTAAAAAAACAAACAGGAACCAAATGTGTGCTAAGATCAGAGAATGAAAAACACAAGCCACTTGATTGGGAATAAACATACCTTTGAATGGCATGCCAGACTTTGTCTGCTCCAGCTGGACTACAACTCATGTCTCCAGAGTGAGAATCTCCAGAGGCTGGTAAGAATTTAACTATGCATCTCTTGTAATAGTATAATTGGGGAACCACCTGCCAAACGGTTTATGTGGAATATAAGTCCAAGGATGGGCTGCTAGGGACTGTCATTTAACATTAAAACATTAAACATGTTGAATGGAAGGACAGAGCCCGTGACGCCAGACACTATACCCACTTATATGAGATAAAGCAGTTGAAGTGCTTATAGTGTCCCTTTAAGTTTTTCTGATACGGACATATGTGTGCAAATTTTAGTTAATGCATTTTTTCTTTTGCAACAGTTATATCCATTTAACCCCTTAAGGACCAAACTTCTGGAATAAAATGGAATCGTGACATGTCACACATATCGTGTCCTTAAGGGGTTAAACAGGTATGCATTTTTGTGCAATTGTAAGTCTTATTGTACAATTTGTAGGTCAATGATACCATACAAAGAAGTCACAATTCCTTTTAAAGTTCTATGTATAAAGGATGAGATTGCTACACTAGCCAACCAACTTAACTTTGTAAGTCTTTAATTGTATTTAAAATATTTGTAGATAGTATCTTTTTGCTGGTCTATTAAAAAAAAAAAAAAACTGTGTTTGGCTTACAGACACAATCATTGCTTTCCTAATGCTTAAAATATTAAACGTGATAAAACATCATTCCAATTGTCCCCCAAAAAAGGACAGAAAGTGTCTGTAGCAAATGTGTTAAAAATTTTTATAAGGTCATGTCTACAAATGCTCGCAGTTTAGGAAATAAGATCCATGATGGCAACTGAGAACGTAGAGTTTGTGGCTGTTACTGAGACCTGGAAAAATTACTGAAACGTAGCAATACCAGGGTACTCATTATATAGAAAAGACAGAGAAGGCAAGAAAGGGGGAGGGGTGGCCATCTATGTGAGGGGTAGCATAAAACCTAACCTAAAACAAGTTGGTGAGGTGATCATAGAGTCTGTTTGGATTATGATAGAATTTGGTAATTGCAGAGTAATTTATAAGCCCCCTGGACAAATAGAAGAGTTAGATAACTTCACTAGCCGCTCCTTAGATGGCTGCTAGAGCTGTTACCTATCTCAGTCTTGCCTAGTGTGCATCACAACATATCAGTATCTCCTCCCTCTGCATGCAGACACTGAACTTTCCTCATAGAGATTATTTAACTGACCTGTTTAGCTCTTTCATAAAATGCCATGCAAAAAGTGATACCAATAAAATCGAACCTACAAAGTGCAAAGCAATAATTATGACTCTCTTGCTTGTATATATAATTTGTACATGACAATAAAAGTGTTTTGAAACAAAACAAAATGGCCACCGACGAGAAGCTATACAAAGCAATTCTATACAATGAAGACATTCTCACACGTGTTGGTCCCAGTTTCTAGTCTTGTGTCCAAATTGTAGCATCAGGGTGCAAATTATCCCTTTATGGTCTGCCAGAGGATTGATGGACATTTCATGATTTATTCATAAATTCAATTTATTTTATCTGACTAATCAAAAAATAATAATAGGATTAACCCCTTAAGGACGCAGCTTAAAAAATTGGACTTACCCTTAAGGACACAAGCAGTTTTTGCATTTTTTGCTGTTTATTTATTGCACCAACACATGTTATATACCGTTTTTTAAAGGACAAAAAAGGGCTTTAATCTGATGTGACATACATATATAAATTCGTATTTATTATAAAAAAAAAATGCAACAAAAATAAAAAAAATTGTTTTTTCCCCACAGTTTAGGCAATAACGTGTGTATAATAAGTGCACCCTAAGCAAAGTAATTCAAAAAATATTCAGTTAGTTGTTCTGATTTTCAGAGTACCTAATATGTGTAGGATTTCAGCTTATTTTGAAAGTTACAGGTCACAAAATACAAGGAGTAAAACAAAATTTTAATGTGGAGCTATTTTAGAATTTGTATGTTTGTCTTGTAAGCTTAGCCATCACAGATGCAAAATTGCTGCACAAAAGTATATATTTATATAAAGCACACATCACAGGCTATTTACCTAAGGGTATTCTGACACTTTATACGTAGCCATTTCACCATCAATCTCTGCTAAACAGTGTAGTAAAATTGTTGGGGTTTTTTCAGATTTCTAACATACACACACAAAACAAGGTATTTTACGTATTTCATAAAGCTGATGTATACTACTGCTGTAGAAAACCCCATATTGTGTTCAGCCATATCTGAGTAAAACGCTACCCCAAATCTCTGCCTTTGCCACTATCCTGTGAAGTTACAGTGCCATAGAAGAGACCTGACCATTTTAGTTTTCACAGTGATAATTTTGATAGATGAATTTGATAGGTGCAAGTCTCAATTGGGGCATTGTAGCAGTTTGACTGTTGAATTTAACCCTCAAGGACCTACCATTTGTGAAAGTAGACACGACAGTGTATCTCATATGGTGTATATTGTGCATTAACGTGATGGCATTTTTTCACCAGTTTATGTCAAACTTTGTGGTAAAAAAAATAAATAATTTTTTCATTTTTTACACACACACTACATTTTTTGGGGTAATTTTTTAAGTCTGGTATGTGCCACTGTAATAAAACCCCCATAATTATACTCGGCAAACTCTTATGAATAAAACAATACCCCCAATGTATGTCTTTGCCACTATACTGTTGTCAGGATTACAGAATGATCCGGCACGTAGAAGACTGATAGGTAACGTATACCGGACCTTACAATGGCCGGACTAACGTACCAAAGAATAGTCAGGAATAGCCGAGGTCAAGGGAAACAGAAAGAGACACAACGATAAGGTCTGCAGAACTTGTCTAACGTGATCGTGGTGAGTCTGAATGTCAAGAGAATAAATAAGGATATCATCCAGATAGACCAAGACAAACGAGTAAATGTAATCCCTGAGTACTTAATTTATGAAATCTTGGAAAACCGCTGGAGCATTGCACAACCCGAATGGCATCACTAGATATTCATAGTGTCCACTTCTGGTATTAAGTGCAGTCTTCCACTCGTGGTTTTCCTTGATTCTCACTAAATTGTAAGCACTTCTAAGATCAAGCTTAGTAAATACTTTAGTGCCTTGGAGTCTATCAAATAATTTAGCAATAAGAGGAATGGGGTAGGCGTTGTTAATGGTGACTTTGTTCAATGCCCTGTAATCGATACATGGGCGCAACTCACCGTCCTTTTTAGATACAAAAAAGAATCCTGCCCTAGCAGGCGAGGATGATTTTCGTATGTGGCCTTTATTCAATGAATCCTTACTATATTCCTCCATTACTCTGCTCTCCTGAGGTGACGGAGCATAGACTGCTCCCTTAGGTGGCATAGCGCCGGGTAGTAAATTAATGGAACAGTCATAAGGTCTGTGAGGAGGTAGAGTATTTGACTGAGTTTTGCTGAATACTTCTTTAATGTCTTGGTACTGTATAGGGATTTCTGGGTTTTGAGGTGTACTAGTGATTAACCCAATAGTGCCCACTCTTTTGGCAACATTCAATATACACCTTTCATAACAATCCTTACCCCATTCTAATATTTCCCCATTAGCCCAGTCAATATGACGGTTATGCTTGTTAAGCCATGGAAAGCCTAATATGATCGGACAGGAAGGGGATGCAATAACCTGAAATGCAATCTCTTCCTTATGCAAGGCACCAATGGACAAATTAATGGGTAAGGTTTTGTGTGTAATCAATGGTTGTGAGAGTGGTCTCCCATCAATAGCTTCAACAGCCAGGGGTGATAGTCTCTCCTTGATAGGTATATTATTACCTTTAACAAATTGAACGTCGATTAAGTTTCCAGCGGCACCTGAATCTATCAGGGCTTTGCATGAAAAGTTCTTCTTTTCATAGGCAATAGAAATATCAAGGAGAAACTTATTTTTATCCATTCCAGAGGACGTTTCCATTACACCTAAGACCTGTCCCCTTAAAGTGCGGTAGTTTTCCGGACGTATGGGACAATTGTTTCTCATATGTCCTTTTCCACCGCAGAATAGACATAGGCCTTCTTTTCTCCTATATTGTCTTTCTGCTTCTGACAGTCTAGTGACCCCCAACTGCATGGGTTCGGTTTCGGACTGTACAGGAAATTCAGGGACAATAGGTTTGTAGAAGTGGGGCGCTAAAGGCATATTCATGTGTCTGGTCATGTTTCTAGTAGCTTCTCTGGTTCTCAATCTATTATCAATTTGCATGACAAAATTGATAAATTCAGTAAGCTTTTTGGTCAGGTAACCTGTGGGAAAAGATCCCGGTGAGGCCTCAAAATGATACTCTGTTTGGTTAAGGAATCCCCGGCATTCTTGGAAATTACCATCAAAATGCAGAGGAGGAGATAGAGAGATAGTTGGTGCCTTGTATACTATAGGCGGAGGTACACAAGGCAGAGGTGAGACAGTAGGAGCAGCCGCAGGTTGCCGATGCGCTGTACGAGTAAGAAGCGTACTGAAAGCCTGGGCAAATTGATCCAAGCGGTGATCATTCTCCTCTAGTTTCCTTTCGCAAGCAGCTTTTGTGCTTTCACAATTCTACAGGATCTATGGCCATGTCGTAATGTCAGGATTACAGAATGATCCAGCACGTAGAATTGTGTAACACAGAGGACTGATAGGTAACATATACATTTGCATAATTGCTGCTCAGCATTAACCCTTCTGTAGATCTGGTTGCTGCTTGGCACAACTTTTCCTGTGTGGACAGTAACGGTCATTAACCACATTTTTATAAGCGGATGAATACGTGACATCTGTGAAGTTACAATGCCTTAACCCCTTAAGACCGGAGGGCGTACTATTACACCCTATTTTAGACGATCTAAACGCCGCCGGGCATAATAGTACACCCTCCGGTCCCTCATTACTTACCCGGTCGCCATGGAGCCCCCCCCGCAGCAGATCTTCCTCCTGGCAGCCCCCCCGGCCATGTGAGAGTGAGGTCCTTGTGAGGACCTCACAATCACATGGCCGGGATAGCTGGCTGCAGCACTGCCAGCAGGGGGACTGCCTGTAATGACAGGTAGTCCCCCTGCTGGCTGGATATAAAATTAAATTAATAAAAGTTAAAAAGTGTAAAGAATAAATAAATATATACTTAGATCATACATATATATATATATATATATATATATATATATATATATATATATATATATATATATATATATATATATATATATATATATTAATATCAAATTACACGTAGACTGATACTGATTAAATATATATATATATATATATATATATATATATATATATATATATATATATATATATATATATAAATATTGTTATATATATTTATATATAATATAAAAACATTAAATATGTAAATACGTTAAAAAATAAAATTAAAAAAATAATTAAAAATAAATAATTAAAAACATATATAGATGTGTTATTTTCGTTCTAACTGTATTGTGATATTAATATATATTTATATCAAAATACACGTAGAACGAAATAATATATATCTATATACATATATATACGTATATATATATATATATATATATATATATATACATATATACCTATATATAAATAAAAATATATTTTTAAAAATTTTATATATATATATATATATATATATATATATATATATATATATATATATATATATATATATATATATATATAATGTCCCGATGTTTTACCCGAACCCCTGTCATTAGGTAAACTTTGACCTGTACCTCACAGTCAGGCCTGAGTCAGCCAATCAGCATGGGCCTCCCTCCCAAGATCTCCCACCTCCTGGACAGCATCCATTTTACATTCATTGTGAAGCTGCATTCTTAGTGAGCTGTCCAGGAGGTGGGAGGGAGATCTGCTGCTGATTAACTGGGAATATCTGCTGACTGTGAGGTACAGGGTCAAAGTTTACTCAATGATGACGAATAGGGGGCGGACCGAACAGCGCATATGTTCGCCGTCCGCGGCGAACCGTTCAGGATATATATATATATATATATATATTCTACATATATATTTATGTAATATTCTACATATATATTTATGTAATATTTTTACATAATTAGGCATCTTAATTAATTACAATTAGCGGGACCTGCCTGACAACCCATGCCGAAAGTAAAGGGAATTTAATTTGCTAGCACTATATTTAACCCTATAACTTTCCAAGACACCATAAAATCTGTACATGGGGGGTACTGTTCTACTCGGGAGACTTCGCTGAACACAAATATTAGTGTTTCAAAACAGTAAAATGTATTACAACGATTAAATCGCCAGTAAAAGTGAAGTTTTTTGAATTTTTCACGCACAAACAGCACTTACACGGACGATATTATTGCTGCAATACTTTTTACTGATTTGAAACACAAATATTTGTGTTCAGCGAAGTCTCCTGAGTACAACAGTACCCCTCATGTACAGATTTTATGGTGTTTTCAAAAGTTACAGCGTCAAATATAAGGCTTGTGTTTCATTTTTTTCACATTAAAATTCGTCAGATTGGTTACATTGCCTTTGAGACTCTATGGTAGCCCAAGAATGAAAATTACCCTTATGATGGCATACCATTTGCAATAGTAGACAACCCAAGGTATTGCAAACAGGGTATGTCCAGTCTTTTTTAGCAGCCACTTAGTCACAAACACTGGCCAAAATTGGCGTATTTTGCATTTTTCACAAACAAATACTAACGCTAACTTTGGCCAGTGTTTGTGACCAAATGGCTACTAAAAAAGACTGGACATACCCTATTTGCAATATCTTGGGTTGTCTACTATTGCAAATGGTATGCCATTATGGGTGTAAATTTCATTCCTTGGCTACTATAAAGTCCCAAAGGCAACGTAACCAATCTGGAGAATTTCAATTTCAAATGTAACGTGCTATATTTGACCATGTACTTCCCAAAACGCCATAAAACCTGTACATAGGGGGTACTGTTTTACACATGAGACTTTGCTGAATACAAATATGTGTTTTTTTTTTTTTTCAGTAAAAGCAAACAGTATTATGACATTAACAGTTAAAATGTCATGTAGAACTAAAAAAATTTTTTAAAAATCTTATTTTCTCACATTTTTTTCATATTAAATTGTTTCATAGCTAATTATTTGATATTAAATGAAAGCCCTGTTAATAAGGGTGGGTGCATTTAATATGAAAGAGGTGAATTACGGTTGGACAGACATGTAGCGCAAATGCCAGGTTTTTACATTTTGTTTCGTTCACAACATGTACATTTGGCTCCGTCCTTATGGGGTTAAAAGAGATCTGACCATTACAGTTTTTACAATTAGAATTCTGATTAATCGATTTTTTTTGATGTGTCTATATCACATTTTAGGGCATCATAGCAGTTTGACAGTTAAAATTACCCCATAAATGCATACCATTTGTGAAAGTAGACACCACGGGCTATGTCGTATGGTATATTTTGAGCTTTATTATATATTTATGTTTACACCAATTTCTTTCAAATTTTATTATTTTATTTTTGCATTTTTATACACACATGTTGTATTTTGGAAACTTGATATATGCTACTGTAAATGAAATCACTAAATTATTCTCAGCTATATTTCCTGAGTACAAAATGACCCCCTTTGTATACCTTAGTCAGGTTTTTGTGAAAAAAATACAGGGTTAAAATCATACCTGGCCCAGTACAGTTTAAAAAAAAAAAAAAAATTAAATGGCAAGTTGACGATGTGTCTTTGTTTCATTTTGGGGCATTTTAGTTGCTCATATACACTGCTCAAAAAATAAAGGGAACGCAAAAATAACATCATAGATCTGAATGAATTAAATATTCTTCTGATATACTTTGTTCTTTACATAGTTGAATGTGCTGACAACAAAATCACACAAAAATTTAAAAATGGAAATCAAAATTTTCAACCCGTGGAGGTCTGGATTTGGAGTCACACTCAAAATTAAAGTGGAAAAAACACACTACAGGCTGATCCAACTTTTATGTAATGTCCTTAAAACAAGTCAAAATGAGGCTCAGTAGTGTGTGTGGCCCAGGGGTCAAGTCCTGGGGAAAAAAGTGTGGGAACTCACCCAAGATTCCCGCCGTCCCCCCCCTTTAAAAAAATAAAAAATTACACTCCTATGCATATAGTGCAGTGCAGGGTGTGTATAATGAATGTAGTGTGTTTGTAGTGAATGCAGTGTGTTTTTAGTGAGTGCAGAGTGTGAACACTGAATGCAGTGTGTTTGTAGTGAATGCAGAGTGTGTATAGTGAATGTAGTGTGTAGTGAGTGCAGAATGTGCATAATAAATGCAGAGTGTGTATAGTGAATGCAGAGGGTGTATAGTGAATGTAGTGTGTTTGTATTGAGTGAAGAGTGTGTATAATGAATGCAGTGTGGTCGTGTGCGCGCTGGATGACGTGTGTGTGAGTGCTGGGTGGTGTGTGTGTGAGTGCTGGGTGGTGTGTGTGTGTGCGCTGGATGATGTGTGTGCGAGTGCTGGGTGGTGTGTGTGTGCGAGTGCTGGATGGTGTGTGTGCGAGTGCTGGATGATGTGTGTGTGTGTGTGTGCTGGATGATGTGTGTGTGTGTGTGTGCTGGATGATGTGTGTGCGTGTGCTGGATGTGTGTGTGTGAGTGCTGGATGATGTGTGTGTGTGTGTGTGTGTGTGAGTGCTGTGGATGATGTGTGTGTGTGTGTGTGTGTGTGTGTGTTGCTGGATTATGTGTGCTGGATTATGTGTGTGTGTGTGTGTGCTGGATGATGTGTGTTTGTAGTGAGTGAAGAGTGTGTATAATGAATGCAGTGTGTGAGTGTGCTGGATGATGTGTGTGTGTGTGCTGGATGATGTGTGTGTGAGTGCTGGATGATGTGTGTGTGAGTGCTGGATGATGGGTGTGAGAGTGCTGGATGATGGGTGTGTGTGTGCTGGATGATGGGTGTGTGTGTGCTGGATGATGGGTGTGTGAGTGCTGGATGATGGGTGTGTGAGTGTGTTGGATGATGTGTGGAGGCATTTTTTTTTTAACTTTATGTGTCTATATTTTTATTTTATTTTATCCCCCCCTCCCTGCTTCTTACCTTGTCAGGGAGGGGGGAGATCGCCTGGTGGTCCGGTGGTATGCTGGAGGGAACCAGCCGCTGCACACAGGAGCCATCACACACTGTGTTCCCTCTCCAGCTCTAACTCTCGCGAGACTCGCCTGTGCGGAGCGTTGCCATGGTAACAGCCGCGGGTCTCGCGAGAGTTAGAGCTGGAGAGGGAACACAGCATGTGACGGCCCCTCAGTGCAGGGACCAGGGCCGGTCCTGCAGGACAGGTAACGGGAACGGCGTTCCTGCTCTGGAAAAAGTGCGGGAACGCCGTTCCCATGCGTTCCTGCAGGACTCGAGCCCTGGTGTGGCCTCCATGTGCCTGTATGACCTCCCTACAACGCCTGTGCATGCTCCTGATGAGGTGGCGGATGGTCTCCTGAGGGATCTCCTCCCAGACCTGGACTAAAGCATCTGCCAACTCCTGGACAGTCTGTGGTGCAACGTGACGTTGGTGGATGGAGCGAGACATGATGTCCCAGATGTGCTCAATTGGATTCAGGTCTGGGGAACGGTCCTGCTGCTGGGTTGTTGCCCTCCTACGGCCTCCTCCACGTCTCCTGATGTACTGGCCTGTCTCCTGGTAGCGCCTCCATGCTCTGGACACTACGCTGACAAACACAGCAAACCTTCTTGCCACAGCTCACATTGATGTGCCATCCTGGATGAGCTGCACTACCTGAGCCACTTGTGTGGGTTGTAGACTACATCTCATGCTACCACTAGAGGGAAAGCATCGCCAGCATTCAAAAGTGATTAAAACATCAGCCAGGAAGCATAGTAGCGGAGAAGTGGTCTGTGGTCACCACCTGCAGAACCACTCCTTTATTGGGGGTGTCTTGCTAATTGCCTAGAATTTCCACCCGTTGTCTATCCCATTTGCACAACAGCATGTGAAATTGATTGTCACTCAGTGTTGCTTCCTAAGTGGACAGTTTGATTTCACAGAAGTGTGATTGACTTGGAGTTACATTGTGTTGTTTAAGTGTTCCCTTTATTTTTTTGAGCAGTGTATTTAAATTACGCCACCAATGCATACCATTTACAAAAGTGGACACCATGGGGACTCTTCAAGGTTTATTGAAGTGACATTTTGTTTCAAAGTTTGTGGTATTCATTTTTGTTTTAAAATTTTTACATACACATAGTATTTTTATGCTTATTTTTTTAAATCTCATGTGTCCCAACATCTTCTGAGTACAAATATACCCCATATGTATATATTTGGAAAGTAGCGATCTTAATCCCAATCTAAATCCCTAATGCTAAACCAAGCCCTAATTCTAAACCAAATCCTAATCCCAAATCTAATCCTCAATCTAATCCAAAACCGGTACCACAATCCTAATCCATAACGTAATCCCATGTGTAACCCTATTGATCACGTTAATCTCAATTCTAACTTTAGCAATAGTGTTAAAATGATTCCCCCTGCTGGTGTCAGCAGAGGAATTCCCTTGCTATATTTAGCAAGGGATGCCCGTGCTGACCCTAATTCTAATCTGAACCATAATCTGAATACCAATCTGAAACATCCAAATACTACAATTAATTATAAACCTAATCTTAAACATAAAATTAATAATATACCCATTAATAAACATGATAATAAATCTAATATTTATTCTAAACCGAATAATAAACCTTAATTGTAATCCTTAATTTAATCTTAATCCCAAAGGTTTCCCACTGCTAATATCAGTACTGATATTAGTAAAGGGATTTTAAACTAAAACAGACAGTGGTACGTTGCTGCCATCTACTGGCTATTTTCAGTATTGCAGTCTCCTATCTCTTACACTGGAGATATTATGCCCAATGCGATGCGATCTGTGCTGGGCAACTGAAAAAGCCCAGCACTGATAAGAATGGCATTGGGGCATAGAGGGTTTCCCTCCAGTGTCTGTAGAGACCTTGGGGGTCTCCCAAGCACCATATCACTTAAAAGAATGACTGTAACTGAGCTTGATCGCTCAGTTGCAGTGTTCTTTGTGGACTTAAAGGGCTACATGCAGTGCTGACTTTCACTAAATGGCCCCAGCTGACAGAGGGAAGCCCCAGGTATCTATTGATACCTAGGTTTCCTGGTGTGAGCAGAGATTTAACCCTGCTCACAGTACATTGTTGTCTATTGGATTTAAATCCCCATTTAAACAGCTGCATGCCGATCTCACTTTGAGGTCTGCATGCAGCTCAGCTGTCTGGGGCCACTAAAAATGGCCCCAGCTGATAGAAGGGACCCCCAGGTTTCTAATGATACCTGGGTTTCCTAGTGTAAGCAGGGATGTAACCCTGCTCACACTGCATTGTGCTCTATGGGGATTTAAATCCCCATTTAAACAGCATCTCTGCTCTCACTTTGAGCAGAGATTTAACCCTGCTCACAGTACATTGCTGTCTATTGGATTTAAATCCCCATTTAAACAGCTGCATGCCGATCTCACTTTGAGGTCTGCATGCAGCTCAGCTTTGAGTCTGGGGACATTAAAACGAACCCAACTGACAGAGGGGAGCCCCAGGTTTCTAATGATACCTGGGTTTCCTGGTGTGAGCAGGGATTTAACCCTGACACTTACACCACAATCTAGATATAGGTATTTAAATGCCTATTTAAGCAGATACATGCCGCGCTGACTTCCAGCACTGCATGTAGCTCATCAAAAAGGCTGGGGTCACTAAACATGTCCCCAGCTGATAGAGGGGAGCCCCAGGTTTCCATTGATACCTGGAACTCCCTTGTGTAAGCAGGGATTTAACCCTGATCACACCAAATTCTACTAGTGGGGATTTAAATCCCCATTTAAATGCTTATTTGCAGCGTTCACTTTGAGCACTGCAAACAGAGCATCGGTCAGTCTGGGGCCACTAATTCTGGCCCCAGGTGAGACACGTGAACCCCAAGAATCAAATGATACCTGGGGCTCATAGTTACCATTAAGGTAATAGACCCTGCTGGAAAAATACTGCATGACGGATATTTTCCGTCATGCGTCCTTAAGGGTGGGATCAGCATGATGGAAAATTTCCATCACGCGTCCTTAAGGGGTTACTCGATTATGAAAATAATCAGTAGTTGGAGCCCTAATTCCAACAATGTTAATAGGTACTATTACCATAGATCAGGCAGCCATTATCATACCCTTAAAGCTACATCCCCTTGTAAAAGGGTTTTTGATGAAACAACAGTGTCAAATACAAAAAACAGTGTAAAAAGTATTTTAATTACCAGCAACAGTTACAGTTGTTTTGGTGACACACATCACTGAATTCTACAATATTGAGGATGATAAAATAGGTTTTTTTAGAGGTGTGGATGTACTAGTATGGAATTGAGCTTTTGGATTTCAGTTCTTCGTACTAAGATGCCCAGTCCATCTCGAGGTTCAGCTTTTAGATTCCGAAGGTGATATTGGATCAGTGGGCTGTGACCATTCAGGTTAAAGAGTTTCTTTTCAAAATTTGGACCAGAACATACTGAAGGAGCCTAAAAATAGATATGACAATTTCACACAATACTAAATGTCTTAAACATTTATGAATGCATTATGCATCACTGCTGGTAATTAGGGTAAAATAAATTTGATATTTGAAATTAATTTACTGGTGCTATTGTCATCACATAATTTGTTAAAGAACCACTATAGACAACCAGACCACTTCACTCAATGAATTGGTCTGTGTGCAGTGACTTTATTTTTAAGTAAGTGTTGTAACTTCTAGTGGATGTCTTCCTGCACTTCCCTGTGCAGGATATTCTTGCCATCCTTGTCAGGATTGATGCTACAGAGTCTATTTTGAAGGGTTTTTGTGTGATCAAGTTTAATTATGCACTAAAGGAAGTAGCAGCTCTAAGTACACAAACACCAGTATATTTATCTTTATTTACCTCTTTAGCTGGGCATATTTTCCGTGATGACAACCTTTTAAACGATTTTCTCATTTGCTTCTTTCCACCTTTATTATAAGTGAATCCTGCAAAAATCAGGTAGAAATTGTGGATGATTAAATAGATTGCAGAGATTCTACATGTGCATTGCTTTGACTGCATGCCATTTTAACTAGTCACATCTGAATTATCAAAACAGTATTTGTCAACAACAATTGTATTATGTGTTTTCATATCTTAAATGTAACCGGAAGATGGGTTGATGCATATCAGAATGATTGTCTAGGGACCTACATAACAAAGCTATCCATTGCAATATGTGCAGAGAGTTTTCAAAACTGTGCTATTATGAATGTGGTATTATGTATCAAAATAATTGTGTAAACTGTACCAGAATGGAAATAGCTGGATCCCCTTACAAATTATTTCCAAAGTTCTGATTTTAACAGGATCTGTGTAATATTTAGGAATAAACTTCCTACAGAAAATGGAAACTTGGAAAGTAACTCATCCTATTTCTCTTCTTCTTAAATTAAGTTTCTGTCTACAAAGATCTTCAGAGTTTATCAACACCTTATTGTTTTTTTTGTGTTTTTTCGGACAAATTATTCACCTTTCTTTTGCTTTTCCGTCCCATGAGCCAGTTCAGCTTTTGGTTCCAAAGAACCATAGTCCCACTTGCTGTAGATTCCTGGACTGGGGTAAATACCTTAGAAAGATAACAATGTAAATGGACAAACAGGAACATATGCAATATTTGCATTAAAAGTGTATTGCATAGATAAATGTAGGTTTTTCCAACTGCTAGTAGGTAGTTTGGCCCAGCAACAAAACACAGCAACACTTTGATCTGACAGGCATTCATTACAATCTAGCATCAGTAACCAATTAACATTTTCTGACTTTTGACCCATATCACACAACAGTTAAAAACCCTAATTTTTCAAGAGGTAAGATAAGACAAGATATGCTCTAAAAAGAAGTATAACTTCTACAGTATATTAAATAGTATTGTATTATTATATTAAAATAATTACAGTTTTCTTTTAATGTAAATTAACTTGCTATTCATTTCAATGTCAAAATATATTACACAATGCTACTAATTTCAGTATGTTTAATTCCAAACTATTTGGAATGCTAATGCTGAAATAGTATAACTACTGTTTGGGACTGGGAGTATGATCTCTCACCTGCAATCCATTGCCAGATAAGATCGCACAGCTCAGTTTTAAAGTCATCTGACTGGAACTGGTACAGAGACTGGGGGAAAGAGCAGCAAAACCCACTGTATATAGCCTGGCTTAGAAGTGATGGGTAGACCTGGTTAAAAAGAGGGGGGGAAATGCTGTATACAGACATTTTTAAAAATTATTTTATAATTTAAATACATGCTTTTTTTATTATTTTATAATTTAAATACATGCGTTGAAGATTTGGCCAAGCAAACTTTTTATTTTTTTATTTTTTTTTTAAACATCACCTTTGAAATAGGTTTCCAAACAGAGTTACTCACTGAAGTGAGAATTCAAGGTGAATTTTCAAAGTGGACAATAGATCTGGAAGATATGTATGTATAGAATAGCCACACTCAATTAATTATTATTTGTCTAACTAAATAGTAAACGAACAACAATACATTCACCCTATTTTCTATTCTTTATAGTCCAAAAATAATTTAGACTTTCTATAACCAATTTGACAATATTTCCATTGAAAAAGCCGCCAAAGCGGAGAAACGTGTTTGGAAAGGAGCCGATCCCACTACTGGCATCCAGTCCACACAAGACTTCTACAAAGCCTGGTGCAGATTTAACCTACATACACTCAAGATGCCGAGCAATCTGGATAAGGTCTGCACTAAATTGTTATTTGTCGATATATTTCTGTCTCTAAATATAAACACTTATTGCATATACATATGTATTTTATAAATTGCATCTACGGTATTTTATAGAAGTATGTTTTAATAAAAGTCAAACCTTGTAATATTGATTCTGTGTTTTTGATGAAGAAAAAATGGATACCTTATAACATATATTTTTCTTGTATGTTTTACTTTTATATACCGGGATTCATTTAAATTCTGTGGAAATAAGCCAGAATCGTGGATTACATGATGATCAATGAACTTTAAAAGACTATCTAGGTATCTTCTACAAAAAAAACGTATAATCTGTGAGCAAATCTTATTGCACAAAGACTTATGATTTTGGTATTTGTTGACCTGATATATTGAAATATTGTCAAGTCCATGATTATGTTGGACTATAGAATATGGTGAATGTATTGTTGTTCTTTTTTGTATTTAATGATTATTATAGGTTAATAGGTTTCCTATGTTTTCACCCTTTCTCTTTATCTTTTAAGTAACATTTTAATTTTCCTTTAAGCGCCTCTCTATAAATCAGTTTATTGTAAATAGTCAATGAGTCCATCAATATCCTTTTGGAAACAAATGGCATACCTGGGCTCAGATGGAGGTATACGAGTTACTAACCAAAATCCGTTTAAAGAGAATCTTGGGAGTTCTTGATAGTACCTTTAGTAAATTGGTGATTTAGTAAATAAAGTATAGAACTGAGCAGTGAAACTGCAGGGGCATGATCTGTACATCAAAACTGCTTAATTAAATGAACACTATAGCGTTAGGAATAGAAAGTCCACCCCCCTCACAACAGTTAAAGGGTTAAAAAACCCTTTTTCTCACTTACATTAGTCCAGCATTGAGGTCCATTGTTGCTGGCTAAATCTCCTCTGACGTCAGCTCTGAGGGGGAACCTAATGTGCAGGTACTGTGAGTGCCGTGAGCATTAGCCCTTCCCTATAGGAAAGCATTGGGATTTGAAGATGCAGGATGTTATCATGCATAGCATGAGCATGTCCAGCCTTGTTTCAATGATTCAAACTGCATAAAACAGTAGGAAATGCCTCTAGAAGCTGTCTAGTAAACCTCCACTGGAAGAAGTCTTAATTACCAATATGGATACCGCACTCTCCTGGATCCCAGGGTGCAACTGGGTCTGAGGTTGGCCAATCCTCACAATGTGATTTGCAGAAAAAGTAATGATGGTCCAGGCACTCCAGTTCAATCCAGTGGGCAGATTTATTAAGACAGAATCAAAACAAAGTTTCTACCCACAACAGGGCGTTTGACAAAGGCCCTGTTGTGGGCAGAAATGTTGTTTTGATTCTGCTTCAATAAATCTGCCCAATGGATTGAACTTGAGTGCCTGGACCATCATTACCTTTTACTGGAAGAAGTCTTAGCACTGCAATGTTAAAGGACCACTATAGTGCCAGGAAAACATACTCGTTTTCCTGGCACTATAGTGCCCTGAGGGTGCCCCCACCCTCAGGGTCCCCTTCCCGCCCGGCTCTGGAAGGGGGAAACGGGTAAAAACTTACCTTTTTCCAGCGCTGGGCGGAGAGCTCTCTGCCTCCTCTCCTCCTCCGATCTGCCCCGTCGGCTGAATGCGCACGCGCGGCAAGAGCTGCGTGCGCATTCAGCCGGTCACATAGGAAAGCATTCATAATGCTTTCCTATGGACGCTGGCGTGCTCTCACTGTGAAAATCACAGTGAGAAGCACGCAAGCGCCTCTAGCGGCTGTCAATGAGACAGCCACTAGAGGAAATAGGGGAAAGGCTTAACCCATTCATAAACATAGCAGTTTCTCTGAAACTGCTATGTTTATGAAAAAATGGGTTAACCCTAGCTGGACCTGGCACCCAGACCACTTCATTAAGCTGAAGTGGTCTGGGTGCCTAGAGTGGTCCTTTAATGATAGGGGGCTGAGGGGGACAGGGACACTACACCCAACCATTTCAATGAGATGAAGTGGTCTGGGTGCCTATAGAGTCCCTTTGACAGTAACAGTTTTGCCTTAAGCGATTACATTTAAGAGGTTTTTTTTTTAATTTCTTTTTTAAAAACACAAATATTCAGGACAGAACAGACGTAATGCTTACATTTAGGAAGGCCTCCCCATTGCGTGAGTTCAGGCATAAATTGAGAAGATGAACATAACTTTTTGCTACACGATCAAATAACTTCCTCTGGTACTCAATGTCTGTCTTTAAAACACAAATAAAAGAAGATATTATAGCCTCACTGTTATAATCAGTATGTTCTTATCTGCCGTCATATTCTATGTTTCTATGTAAACATAGCAGTTTCAGAGAACTGCTATGTTTACATTCAGGGTTAAGCCAGCCTCTAGTGGCTGTCTTCGTGACAGCTGCTAGAGGCGCTTCTGTGACGCTGAATGCGAAAATCGAACACCAGCACAACATACAAGCACACTCCTGCAATCTAACACAAATAAATAGCATTCAAACTAAAAAATAAAATATACAAACACACCCCTTCACTCAAACACAAACTTTACACAAATGTACATCCACATTTAAAAGTGAACATTACATTCAGACACATCCCTGCAATCAAATGCAAACATCACATACAAACACACCCTGTATTAAAACACAATAAATGTATACAAGCACCCCTTCAAACACCAACACTGTACATTACACTATAGCGCCAGTAAATGTAGAAATATACAACTTTGAAATTTTGACTTGGGGTGCCTTGGAAAAATACTGAAATATTAAGGGCGCCTTGAACCTAAAAAGTTTGGGAACCACTGTTATATAGTTTATTCAGCACACATACAGTGTCCCGCATAAAAATTTAAAATACCCACTGTCTCCTCAATGTGGCATTGACCTTTGGTACATGGCTGGACTTGCATCACACTAAGCTAGGTACTAAACAGTGGTAGAACAGTAAAGCAAAGGAAAGATCTCCGTAATATAATTACATTTTTGCATATTATTTGTTTAGGTCTTCTTACCTTATACATATGGAGAAATATCCACAAATAGCAATCCAGAAGCAAATCTTTAGCCGATGTGGAACTCAGAATATGACGAACCACTTTGGATGAGCAGATCTGGTAATCGGTAGGAATGGTGTTTGGAATATAAATGCACAGCCAGCATAGTATTTAAATCCATTGTCTTTCATTTATATATATTCTTTATACCACTTTATTATATAAGGTTATTACGGAATTTTTATGTTATGTTTGTTGTAACCTTAAGTCTCAAAAAGAAGCATTATACAATAATATTATGTAAACAAGATATTAAAATTTAGAAGAGACAATCACAGAAGTATCGGTTTAAAAGGAAACTCCTGTGCCAGGAAAACAATCCATTTTCCTGGCACTGCAGGTTCCCTCTCCCTCCTACCCCCCAATGCTTGGTTGTTGAAGGGGTGAAAACCCCTTCAGTAACTTACCTGAGGCAGCGACGATGTCCCACGTCGCTGCTTCTTCCTCCGCGCCGCTCCTTCCTCTGATTGCATCGGCCGGTGGGCGAGACTGATCCCGCACACCGGCCGGGGAGACCTAATGCGCATGCGCATTAGCGCTCCCCATAGGAAAGCATTGAAAATGCATTGAAAATGCTTTCCTATGGGGAAATGAGCGACGCTGGAGGTCCTCACATAGCGTGAGGACGTCCAGGTTTCCTGTGCTAGAGACCAGGAAGTGCCATCTAGTGGCTGTCTACTAGACAGCCTCTAGTGGCTGTCTACTAGACAGCTACTAGAGGTGGAGTTAACCCTGCAAGGTAATTATTGCAGTTTATAGACCACTCCAATGGGCAGAAGTGGTCTGGGTGCCTGGAGTGTCCCTTTAACAGAGGGAAATACAACCTTGGGAGTTACAGGCTCAACTTAGACTAAAGAAAAATTACTGGGTAGTCACAGAACAAGAAGCATATACACACTAATGCCCTAGGTCAGGAACATCGGCTGAAGTAACAATACTTTATCTAACTCAAATAAAAGGCATATAATAGTTCAGCATTACATACACAGACTCTCCAAGAATGACAACAAAGGCATATAATTCAACTTACACACCCTATGCCAGGTGTAGGCACCCTTCAGCACTCCAGATGTTTTAGACTACATTTCCCTTGATAAGAAATACACTGCTATTTGGTGTACCGTATTTATCTATCGGTGCCTGTTTATACACTCTATATATACACATATTGTTCTTTATCACCTTTATAAGCTCATAACAGACAAGAATTAGATCAGTATGGTGACGTTTATATTCAGATTTAGTACTATTTTTAGGATTTATATGCATGGTTTTATATATCAATAAACTTGTCCTTTTTATTTTTTATCGTTCTACTTCTATGTTGTTACATTGAGGAGCGCACATACCCTTTTCTGACCTATGAGCTTTCACTCACTTAAGACACTTATTGGTGTATGTAGCTGTCCTTTTTTAATATATTTATTACACCTATCTCCACTAGTTTTGTACATTTCCCTTGATGCTTTGACAGCATTACGACTGTAAAAGCATTATAGGAGATTTAGTCCGAAACATCTGGAGTGCCAAAGATTGCCTAAACCTGCCCTAGGCAGTACTCAAGGTGAGGGCTCTCATGCGCTCCAACTTCAGTCAGGCAGCTGCTGCGGTAGTCACAAGGATCTCACAAGTAAGTCTACCCCATCAGGGCTGCCATCAGAAATTTTGGGGCCCATGACAAAGCACAAGGTCTGGGCCCCCCCCCACTCCCTCCCGGGCCCGCCCACACCCTACCTAGTCTGCTCACAATGATGCAGGATTGAATGTGGTGTGTATAGTGGACGTGAATTAGAATGTGTGTAATGGATGTAGTGTTTTGTGCAGTGAATGCAGAGTGTGTGTTTGTGAAGCGGATGCAGTGTGTATAGTG